CTTTGCTCCTATCTCTGCACAGGCTTTGCATATTTTAGAACAGCCATGTTTTAATAGAACATCAACACATTATTGTGACATGTTAAAACAAAACAGAAAAAGTCAGATGACTGGGACATCTCTCTGGAAATAGGCTGGGCTAGTCTTGTAAGAGATGGCTGAACAGTGTGTTTGAAGCCTGAATGTACTGGGTCAGCAGAGCATTAATAGGATAAAATTAAAGGGACTATTATTGGTGACTCAAATTCAAATTTTTCACATCATCAGTCTCATACAAATATACTTTTCTGCAACATTTTAAGTCTGACATGACTAAATTTTACTAGATGTGGTTTAACTGACTTAGTGTGATCATTTTCTCTTGAAAGGTGTTTGACACAGCTAGCTAATAGAGCTGTCTTGGAAAAAAATTGATCTCTGCATAAGAAATACTTCTGTTTAATACAGCATGCAATTAATATAAACTATAATGTGCTTTTAATTTCGCAAGTTCACAAATTAATAGTCACTTTTACAAGGGAAATTAGGTTTGTTACTTTCATCAGTGTTATTGCTGTATACTGAACATATTCCGCTGTAGCCCTCAATTTGTCTGATTATGAAAGTATGTATTTTTCCTTAAGCCATTTGTCATACGTGTTTAAATGCTAAGATTTAACATGACATAATTTGAAGCCATTGTACCTCCTTACTTATTTAAGAGGATGTTTCTATATATCCCTAATTTTACACTTTCTCCTAGCAAAAGGGATGCACAAGTAGCAATTGTTTCTGCTGTAAACAGGTCTTTGAGGTTTTATGTTATTCCCTCAGTATGCATCCCAGTTTCAGTACCAGGCTCGTGTTCCTTCAGATTATTTGATGGTAGATGTCCATATCCCAGATCTCTACAAGTGTACTTCTTCCAAGAAAACTAGGACAAAGAATATGTAGAAATTAAACCAGGAGTAAGAAGTCCCTTGCAAAAGAGATCTCGGAAGAGAATCTCCCTGCTAGATCTGGAGTTCAAGCACTAGTTTTCTTTAGATTGTGTTCCTTTGCAATCCTAGTGTAAGCCTCTAGCTATAATCTAATTAGCTGTCAGAGAGATGGATGCTTACAGTGCAAGCTAGTCACTTATTCAAAGCCCACCTTCTCGGAAGAACAGAGGCACCTGTCTTTGTGACACAAGCTGCAGTTTTCTTGCTAAAATCCTTTGCATATCATCAGTTCTAAAGGCTTAACAGATGACAGGAACACAGCCTCAAGTACCTTTTTTCATCCAACAGTTTGTCACATCTCTTCTTACTGTTATTCAGAAATATGGGGACTTTTTTATGTGTAAGTAACTGTGGGGAGACGTAGAAAAAGCCAGTTTACATTGTAAGTTGATACTTTTTGGGAAGGAAAGCCAATTAAAGGGTAATTAAAAGTTACATATATGTACACACAACAGATTTTGGGTTTGTTAGCATAAATTTCCATTTTACAGAGACTACTTTCTAGCAGTTCTTCAGAAGAAAAATATTTTGTCAGGTTTATAGTGCATTAAAATAAACACAAGGAAAGAAAGAGGTTCACAATATAAAATCTTCAGTAGTAACTCCAGTTTTGTTGGTATATTTTTCTTTACCAAATCCTCTATAGTTTATACAAAAACATCAGAACAAGTAAGAGCCTTTAAGTATCGGTTCAGGAAGAAAACAGTCTTGTCTGGAGTACATTTCATCTGCTTTAACATAATAATTTAAACAGTCTGCATTAAGAACCAAAAAGCCAGAGTAATACAGAATCAAATACTTGGGACATTGAAACAATCTTTTTCTTAGGTAATATTCAGTAATAAACACTTATAAAAACACATTTCTCATAATTAACATAGTTTGCAGTATATGGACTGGTGCCATAAGTAGTCTAAAACAGAGGTTCTTCATTGAGGAATTTTCACTGGGCTTTTTTATGCCACTGAAAAAAAATCTGTAGAGGGGCATAAAATTCATGACCAGCAAATATCCCCATGGATAAACCTCCTTAAAGCAGCCATTTTTCTTATAACACTACTATATACCATCATCAATAGCTTGTTTTTCAAGAACAATTTATTACCGGTATAAGCGCCTCAGAAAACCGGTGCCATCATGTACGTCTATCCGTTCACAATTGTCTGCAAAGATGACCAAGGTACCTGAAATGGTTTAAAGTAGGTAATTGATGGCAATGTTAGTCAACTGATTGGTGTACTCATTCCTCCATTTAGCGTGCTTTACTTCTTGGAACTTGTAGAAACGAGTAATTATTTTCCTGTTGCAAAATAATTAGTACTGCTGCACATTCAGACTTTTATTCTTTTACATTTAATTATTGTTACATATACCAAGGCTTTCAGTTCAAGGACATACAAGGTCTTAATTTATAGAATTATAATTTATGTTTTTATAAGTTACATCATGGCATCATGGCTATACACTTAAGCCATATCTACACTACAAACTTTGGCCAACAACCAGGGAAAAGAGGTGGGATCCTCATCAGTACCACACTGCACATAGACTGTTGTAAATGCCATTATACTGGGAAGAAAAAACCCAAATCCCTCCTTTCTGTAGAAACATCCTCACAGTTTTGCTGGTATGAGTTACATCCATGCAGGACCCAGGCATACTCTGCCAGTATCATATGCTAGCACAGTTACACTGGCAGTGCTCCTAGAGCTCCTGTAGCTTCAATCCAACTTCTAGTTCCCTTTTTTTTTTTTCTCCCCCCCTTTCTTTCAGCTGTTGTGGTTGCACAGCTCCTTTACTTTTTTCATCTTCAAAGCAGCATACAACATTTTCACAAAAGGAGGTATTCAAAATGGTCATTTAAAAAAGTTTATTACTTCAGTGAATCAGCAAACAGTAATTATTTCAAATAAAGCCACATCATTTTTTTTTGTTTTTTTTCACCTCTGTTTACCTGTACTCAATAGTAGTAAAAATGGGACTATAAAATGTAGAATGGAGATGAAATGAAAAAGTTGAGATTTAATCTGAGAACTATTCAAATATAATGTACTTTCAGCTCGTCTACCCACAATGCAGCCAATTTGTGAAGATTTATGCCTTACATTTTCATATTGGTAGTTTGTTATAGAATGCAAATAATTTATACCCAAATAAAAACCTCCTACAAGTTAGCAATGTATTTGTCTAATGTGGATTCTCTTAATGAACTTGAAATAATTTAGCCTCCCTTTACAGACAAGGGGATGTTAAGTGGATTTATGAAAATGGTAATCAAATGCACTAGATGGGATGAGTAAAGGAAATGCTCAAACTTTCTATCTACTGGTATTTCAACCCACCAGATGATTTTTCAGTTTAACAGTAAATACTCAGTCCAACCTCAAAATAATTAAGTTTTAGAATCCCTCATTAAGTTTGCTCAAAAGTGGAAAAATTCTACTGGAACATAATGTAGTCTTGAGATGCATTTCAATGCTTAAAAAAAAAATTTTTAGAAGTTCTAACAATTTAGGAATCTAACTGTAAGTATTCCCCAATAATAGTCTTTGCAAGTTTCAAATCCATAAGCTTACTTCAAGAAAGCAGTCAGATGTGTGGAAATCTTAAATCACTCCAGAATATGAACAAGACAGTAAGTTTCCTTGGCTTTTAATTTCTTCATTAGTTTAAGTTCCAAGGAACTGTGGGTTTTGTTTACTTGGTAGGGGAAAAAAAAAAGTTACTTTAAAACTCTGATTTACCAAAAAAAAAAAAAAAGCCCAGAGATCTGCAGACATAATAAAATTTATTTAAATTCCATGCATTATGGTAGCTACAAGTGTATTCATATGAAACTGAAGGACAATAACTTCTTCTGTCCATACAATGTAGCTGGAAGTGAAATGAATGGGAGTTCCACAGTTACAAAGAAACAAACAAAATAAAAAAACCCAAAAGAGGTAAATCTGTTTCAGTTTTGAGTTCTCTGTGAATTCAGATACAGTCACTAGACTGTAAACTTTTGGAGGAGGAGATGGGCTCACCACAATTGTACAACTGAAAATGTTTAGTTTAAGACATTCTGAAGAAGCTCTGAAGATACCTTTTAATACTTACTACTAATACTCTGGGAAATGAAAAAAAAAATCTGTTAGCCTTCATCCTAATTGTTAGAATCAGGATAGCAATTGTAGACAGTCCATTTTCAAAGTGCAGCTAAGTAGGGTTTTATTATGCAGCTCCTTCAAGTTGTACTGAGTAAGCTTAATTTTGAACCAGTTTTGCTTTAATTTCTTATGAAAAACTTCACTGGTTCTCATAAGCTTACATTGCTTTTTGATATGCAAAAATTTACAGACTGTGCTTGATTCTGACCCTCCCATATTTCAGTATGTGCAAACTCTTAGGGATTTAAAGTCTTTCTCCCTCTCAGTTCAGACTGATCTTCAAAACAGCAAGGATTATCCAGCCCTCTAAATTAAAGACAGGGTGAACTGAGTAACTTATGTAACTGGCACTTTTTAATTGGCCCAGTTCTCCCACAAAATGCAGCTCTTATAAATACTAATAGGCACTATTGCCACAAATTCTCTTATTTTTGCAAGTTTCACTGATTTACTGGTTGTTAGCATTTTCTGCAACTAAGAATTTAATAATGCTGAATTTTTATAAAGACACAATATGTAGCTCTAGCCTTCAAAACTGACTTACTGTGTCTAGTAATGATGTTCAGTCAACCTAAATTTGCTCAAAATATTAACAAATGTAAAGCTAATGAAGGTGTCACATTTGCATGAATGTGTGTTAATTTTAAGAATGCATTCAAAAAAGAGAAGGGGCAAACCTAATTGTTTTAATACAAACTTGCTTGAGTGCCCAATTGCCTCATTTAAAACTGTGTGTGTGTGTGTGGAGGCTGAGGAGTTTAGAAAAGTCCAAGTAACCACATATCCAGGTTACTGGGAAGTTAAAAAGCTAATGCAACTGCATTACATCCGGATAAAAAACATTACTCAAAAGCAATTCAAATACCAAAAAAGATTTCAAATTGAATAGTTTATTACATGGTAGTCATCTTTGTAACATGTGCACACACACTCGCACACTCTGAATGATCTGCCTGGAAAAAAGAGGTCTTAATATATATGCTGGGGGAAATTCAACATTAAAAATCCTTTAGATTTTCAGAATTATAGGCAATTATGTCCACATCACTTACAAAGCTATTGCCGAATCTTTCCAAGGAAGCAGAATTTGGGAGAAAAAAAAATGCTTTTTGGGAAAATTCAACAGTGGCATAGCAGAGCTCTCAATATGAGAAAGCTGACATAATGTGGACCTTTGCTGTGAAATTTGTCTTTGCAAAATATGGGGAGAAGTTTATCAATGGGCAGAAAATAAGAAGGCGGTGTGAAGTAGGCTTTTGCAGAGTCGATTTTCCTCACAGTATTGTGCGGGGGTCATTGAGAAAAATGCTTAGTCCTTCTCTGGAACCAGTTTCAGAACTTTTCCAATTGCAATGGTCTTGCCTAAACCAAGGAGACAAACAGTAGAGTTATACTGTGAAAAGAATGAAGTGTATCTTAAAAGCACAATAAAATCTTAAAAATAGTAAAACTGCTATTCTTACAGTAAAGAATATGATGTGGATTGTGGAAAGTCTGCTCTATATTCTTCTAAGGAGAAGGCAAGGCAGAATCATTCTACCAGATCTGTTTACTGCTTTTAAAGATAACGTATTTTAAATACGTCCCACAAATCTACGAGTTTTACCAGGTAGGCATGAGTTAAAGCAAAACATACAACCTCTCTAATCTTTTCTAAGTTTAAATAGTGAAACTATGTTATTCATACAGTAGGTGTGCATTCCAGGATGCATTAAGAAAACAGTGCTGGTAGTTTTTCAAATTGAACCTTTTGTTTTACAGGGCACACTTCTGTACATTATTCCTCTAAAATAAAACATTTTTTGTTACTAGCAAGAACTCTGCACAATGACAACAATTTGCTTAGATTTACTTTTCCATTGTTACCCCGACAGCGATTTCCACTAGATACCAGCACTTCCATGCCTCATTGCCATGAATGATCTCGTTTCAAATCACTGTATTTTTGCAGCAGTTAGTAACTGCTGATCAAGCAGTCTTACCCTCATCTCTTAAGGTAAAGCGACCCATCTGGGGGAAATCTTTGAATGTCTCAAGGCAGATAGTTCCTGCTGTCCTTAAACGGGCAATGCATACTTGATCTTGTTTCACAAAACGGGGCCGTGTCTTACTTTTTTCTCCTGTTTTTTTGTCTACCAAGCAGATTAAGGCCTGTATAAGAAAAAATTAATAGCCGTGAGTGCTATTAATAAGGGTTATTTTTTCCTTTACAAACAGAACTGAAGAAAATACTTAGAAATAAAAAAACCAAACTTATATAAGATTTACTGCAGTAAAGTATGACAGAACTCCTCACCCCAACAAGTGGATTATCTATATTCACATCACAATTTAAAAGGACACTTACTGTTATCTCAACTTCTTCAATACAGGTATGGATGTGCAGCACAGCATTATAACCTGGGCAGATAATGGATTTGTGCTCAATTATCACTATCTGTAAAACAATTAAAAATAAGTGCGTTTTTCCTCATATCAGTTATAAAAGAGCAGAGAACAACCAAACACAACTACATTAAAATGTATAGTTGAACAACACACACTTCTTTTTGGTGAAAGAAACAAACTTTATAAGCAACTAAGTTGTTTGTAATATAAAAGTATAAAATTGAAGAATTGAACTGAGGATCTTGCTTTCACGGTTATAGGTATCTAAAACTTAATTGAGAAGATACATTCAAAAACAAATGATATTTTAAAACCTGAAATATTAATAATGTCACAGTGTTAGGTATATATGTTATTGTCAACTTAGAGATATAGTAAGTAAGAGATCTAAACTGAAACTTGAAACTACTGAAGTTTGGATTTGGTTAAACACAAGCAAAATATTGTAATGCTTTTTACTCATCTATACAGCAATTAAATGCTAGTTATGCTACCTGGGCATCAAATGTGCGTCCAGAATGACACAGGTTGTTGGGATCACAAAGAATAAATCCTGGAAGGATCTCTTCCTCTTCAATTCCTTTCAGTCTGATCTTTAGATTTTCACCTGGGGCTACTGAGTCAGTTTCTACATCATCAGAAAGGATTCCAAGAACTTCCACATTGTGCTTAAAGAAAGCAAAAATGCAGGTTTCTATTGTGAATATTTTAGTCTGGCACAAAATCATTTTAATACAACGGGATTTCAATTAAAGTTCCATTACAGTTTAAGTTCATTATAGTCGGTTCTTTCTGCAAGCTTCAGAACATTTAAAATATTTGATTATCCACTATTTCTCAAAGTGCAATGAGTTTAAAACTTACAAAGAGGTGAGAGATACAATGGCTGCATATTATCCAAGAAGAATGCAAAAGCCACATTGTTGTATAGACTCGTTACATTCAAAATATAACTGTCTGAATATTAACACAATCCAGGAAATCTTAGAATCACAAAATTCTCCAAGATTTCCTGGAGAGGATGATAAGAATACCAAATGTATATTAATGAACACTCTCCAAGCAAACACCAAAACGTATATCCTAAGGTCCCTATACGTTGTAACCTCTCCTCTGGTTTTTGTATCTTTACAAAGTACTAGATACCAACAGAAAATAAATATTGGAAAGGCAGAGAAGTTAAAAAAGGAGTACTTTCAGAAAGGTCTACTGTTCTAACTTCCTGAAGTTTTTGTTCAATCCTCATTAGCTACCAAAGTAACAATAAAGCCCCCAAAAAGTCTGTCATCAAAAGCACTTGCTATTTACTCAATACAAATCCTTTAACTGTTTAGTTAAAGCCATTTACAATTTATTAATTTCTCCTAATCAACCCCAAGATAACATGGGTGTCAGATGCATGTCAAGCAGTTTTATAAAAAGCCACTATCTGTTAAATTACCTTAAAATCTGAAAAGCATAATCTCAAACTGTCTAAGTTTAGTTTCAATTTTCAGCAGCTCTTGAGAAAGGTGACATGGAAGTCAATCTAATACCAACTTTCAATAAGCTGTAGATTTCTTGTACATTTGAACATCTAGATATTTTCTAGCAAACTACTTCAGCCTACAGAATTGGAAAAAGTGCATCAGCTTAAATCAAGGCGATATGAATAGGTAAGAACAAAATTACCAAACCCTTTGTGGAAGAAACCAAAAACATGAAAGCTTAGCTGTGTTCAACTGAGCAGTAGAAAATTTTCTTTTTTAAAGTAATGAGTACCTTTAAGAATCAAGGTCTTTTTTAGGGTGGTAACATTTTTTTAATATCTAAACCTTACCATACCTTGTTTGGCATCATCACAAGCTGTTGTCCTTTGCAAATAGAGCCCGACTCCAGCTTCCCAAGGACCACAGTGCCCATATCCTTCACAAAAAGAAATGACATAAAAATTGAAAACATTTTTCTGAAGAGTCTGCTCTATTTATGATTTAACTCTGATTACTTAACCCTATCAAGTTATTTATCACTGCTATACTTAATGTCTTGGAAACTGGTCTCATGAAAGATTACAGATTTTAAGAGTTTCACATAATGCCAAAATTATTTACTTCCCCTCCCCACGTCTCTTCTACAGTTGGAAATGCAGACATATCAAACTAAAAAAAGATACTCTCTAAAAATACAGTACATAGCCCATTTACTGCCTTCTGAAAACAGTCCACTTGTACTTTCAATCCTATTATTTTAATTTGTACCTTATATTTATCCACAATTGGCAGCCTGATTGGTCCATCAACTGAACGGTTGAAGTTTGGCAAATTATCCAGATATGGAATAAATGGTAACCCACTGAAAGAGCAGAAGGCATTTGTTTCAATTTTGTGTGCACCCTTCTATTTAAAAATTTCTCAGAATGGATAAATGCAGCCCAACAAAAGGAGTGATTTTCATTCTGTCATCACTAAGAACAGTGACCACTAAGTTAAATCTATTGTAACATCCCATCATTAGCATCCACTTTACCCTAGCTAACATGCTAGTACCCAGGAAGTTCATGTAGTTTTAAAGTTACGTTACAGGCATATTTTACACAAATTAATATTCCTTTGAGAATCTTGCCAGATGTCTAATATGCTCTGTAAAGACAAAACCATAAGCTAGGTCCAAACATTATTTTTTTAAATATGTTTTAACTGCCATGAACAATATTGGAAAACATGACATCCAGTGAGAGACGGTGAGAGACTAATTATAATATAGCTTCAAGCAAACAGTTCACATCAAACAATTACTCATTCTAGCAATAAGTCAACTGCAGCATCACTGGAAAATTGAAGGGCTAGTATAAGTCAAACTCACAAAGCCAAAGAATATTGTTAATATTATTACAGAGTCTGCTAACTTCAATTTTCTGCAGTTAGCAAATGCTTTTATTTGGCTCGTTGCATGGCTGCGTTCTTGTTGCCCTGATTGTATTTCCTCAAGCACTTTAGAACACAGCTACAATATAACATGCTATACTTCTTCCTAGCTTCACTATAGCATTTACTTTTCTTGAAATATAGCAAATAAAGTTGTTTGATTTAAGATACATACATATACCAAGGACAGAATTCTGACTGTTCTTTAAGGTTTGCTCCAGTCAGTCCTGAGCAGGGCATGAAATGAATATCTTTTTTGGGATTGAAGCCAACTTTCTTCAAAAACGGCACCAGTTTCTCTTTACATTCCTCGTATCTATTAAAATGACAAGCAGATAAAGATAAGTTTCAGTTATTCCAGCATGACATAATACTGTGCTTTAAAAAACCAAAAAACACAGACATTTAATTTTCATCAGTTAAGTTATTCTGTGAGCAGCAGGCAAACCTAATCAAGCTTAGTGACCTATTTACATCTCCTCCCCAATCTTCCACCACAACTTGGTACTGTCTATTCCCCCTCATTCCTCTTGTTCCTAGAGCACCATCAGTTCTCTCCATATACCTCAATTACTGGGCTGGCTAAGCAGCAGCACGTTCTGTATCTGCTTTGAAGCAAGAGATTCAGGCCAAGATAGCAGGAAGACCAAGCAGACAGCTACTGAGGTCATGCTTCAGGCTTTCACTTTAGTAGTGGCTTGGTCTCCTCAAATCTCCTACATAATTACCTAAGCCTTAATGCTATTTATTTCTATTACACTTCTTCCCCTCAGTCAGGTTCAGCTGAATTCAATAATGTCAGAGGGCTGGGGCAGGATCAAGACAGCACAACTGGGCATGCCTTCTTCTCTTAGTAAACTAGGCTGATGTGTTAAGGTTGCATAGTCCCTCACAGCTTTCCACAAAAACTTTCATGATTCTTGACAGCACAGCAAATTCTCTGACAACTCTTCTTACTACACTGTAGAAAAAAAAAAGTATCCCATCACTACACAGGTATCTCTAGGGAAGGACTAAGTTACACTTTTTACCATCCAGCTTAAAGGGGTGAGAATAAGGATGTGTCAGAAGCCATAAAAAGATCTACGTTTTGACACTTAGGGAAATTAAAACCCTTTAGTAACATTTGAGCATTAAGGCAGAAAATAACAACTTCATCCTTTTTAATTAGTTAATTAACTATTACATATTGACTTTCTAGTTATTTTTACCTGACCTGTATCATTGCAAGATTCCCTCCCTGCCCCCTTCTCAGACTAATCACAAATCACTTTGCTGTATTATTTGCTTATTCAATTCAGGTTATCATAAAAGAACTTCAAATAATACAGGGTGGGCACATAAGGTGAAGAGGATAATGCTGTTTTCACCAAATCTAGGGCAGGAGTTTATCAGAAACATGGCCAAGTAATCAAGAATGTGGCAAACTAAACTACTGAAAACAGATTTGCTTCCTTTTAAATTCATTATAAAGTTTTCAAGTCAACAATTAAACTATGTTAGAATGCATGGATTTGTTAGACAAGGCTGCATCCAAACAGTTGAAAGAGAATGTTTTAAAGTAGTGTAGAACTTCAAGCTTACTTGAGAGGCACTGTGCTAGGCACTATGCTGTCTGTTTTTCCTGCAATTTTGATAACCTCTGTCTTTAGTCCACCAGTCCACCATTCTTTCAGCAAAAATGGGATGCAAAAAAATTGCTTGACTTAGGAATTATTTTATTTCAGTATCTTTTAATGAAGATTAATTTTTTAATATTAAACTCACCTTTCATTACTCCAGTTTACAGTTGGATCATCCATTTTATTAATAAGAACTATTAAATGTTTTACACCTGCTGTTTTTGCTAACATGGCATGTTCTCTTGTTTGTCCACCTTTCTCAAATCCAGTTTCAAACTCTCCTTTCCTTGCAGAAATAACCTAATTAAAAATACACATTTTAATAAAAGTTCTACAATTCTCTCAACAGAACAATTGACAATGGGTAATACTGCCTTATTCAAAAATAACTTTGGGTGGTCAAAACTCACAAAAGCTTTCAAAATACACTTATATGTCCTAAAGATTTCCCATTAGTTTCTGCACTAACAAATACAAAAATCACATGACACCTGTGGACCTGTTAAGTTACTCCAAAAACCACTCACTCAACTTGGTAGCTTAAGATTTGAAAATTTTGCCCACTGTAACTAACCAAAAGAGTAAACAAGAAAAAAAAAAATCAAAAGCTTAATTCCACAGTATATCCAAAATAAAAGAATCTGATTTGTTCTTACCAGCACAGCAAGATCAGCCTGAGAAGCCCCACCAATCATATTTGGAACAAAGCTCTTATGTCCAGGAGCATCTAGAATAGTGAAGTGTTTCTTCTCAGTTTCAAAATAGGCTCGACCCACTTCTACTGTTTTACCTTTGTCTCGTTCTTCTTGGTTTGTGTCTAAGGCCCATGAAAGGTACCTAAAAAAAACCAAAACAACCCAAATATTCTACTTTTGTATTAACTTTTACTAAATTTATGTATGATGATTTGTTCATCATAATTTTTTTTTCTGCTCAGCTATTCTAACCACCTCAGCATTACAGAACTTAAGCAAGCATTTCCAAGACCAATAGTGACTTGTTTGTGAATGTTTTGTGTACGTATAGTGAACTGTAGTGCGCAGTGCTAGCTCTCCCTCACACACCTAGCAGGATGCAATTCTAGAAAACAATTTTTAATTATTAAGTTCTACAGGTATGATCTAACCTCAAATACTTTAAGCTTTGCCTCAGTTTGAAAAACAGCTCTGGATCAAATACAAAACAATTTCTCTTTCTCAACTAAAAAATTAGTTCTGATTTGCACATATCCATGAGAACTATTACTATTAGTTCTCATTTATTTGCACATATTAAACAGAAGTTGGTTATGAAATAAACACCATCTTTTTTCACCCTATCTTTGATACGTTGCCCTCCTAATTATATTTTATCCCACTGGCCACTGACAAACAAGTTAGATTTAAGTTAGACAGATGAACTGAAATTTCTAAAAAAGATTACTTAGCTCCTTCAGGTTTTGTGAAAATTGGTGCACATAAAGAAGAGGAAAAAATAATACTCTCACTAAGGAGAAGAAAAGTAGTAATAACTACATTTAACTGGCTTAACATACCAATATTTTTCACCATTAACAGCAGCTTATAAAGATCTTTAGCTAGTCTTTTGTTATTGACTGGATAATATCTAAAGAGACATGCTAACTCAGCAGCCCAGGGATCAGGGCGGGAGCATCAGGGACTATTGAACACAAAGATGCTCCTTCCAGCTCAGGAGGTTCCCGAGTCAGTGAAAGCACTAAACATTGGGAATTATGGATATATAATCACAGTCTTCCCCAGGGAAAACTATCACCAACTGAGGTCTAGATAGCATGCTAGATGGCTTTTGGTTTGTACCACTATGTGTGTTCCTATGTGTTGTCATCTTCACCATGGCCTGCATTTCTGGAAGATTTCAGCCCAGCTAAAGCTCAAGTTTTACTCAGCTAACAAGACTCTAGCA